AACAGCAAGTCAGTGAAATAATACGCCGGAATCGTATAGACTTCTCTTATATCTTCTCTTCAGTAATGTCGCCAGGTATAGCTGCTTGCTTCACCGATTTTTCTCTAACGTGCTTATTTCCTCTGGTAAGCGTAGAAAATTAGAAAAAAAAGTCACTTTCTAATTCAAGTTAAACTTGCTATTTAAGAACTGTCACCGGCATTCGACCTCGCTCAATTTCTAGGTGTCAGCATTTAGAACTTCCATTGCTCTGTACTCTGAGCCTTAATTTAGACATGGGGGAGCGTAAGATATGAGATTTATAAATCATTTCGGGATCGCTTAGTGGTACTTCATAGACATATGATATTTTGTATTGTGTAGCTTCCCTCAATTTGTTATGTTCAGAAAAATATCCGACGGCTGGTTATTCAGTCGTTTGAGAACATTGATCGGCTGCCGATCGTAACAAGTATCACGAAACAAAAAAAAGATGAACTTCACAGTTTTCGAAAAAATGTAGCTTCAATCTAACCTAAAATCCCAAAATCCCCAAAATGTTCCTTTTGAAATACGTCTGCGTCCCTTTATGCCCGTTCATGTATTTTGCGAACTTTGAGTATCGTGTGCACACAAGTTTATTTTCCCAGCTTGAGGTTGTTTGTAATCTTAGTTCAATACTCCATTTCAATTGTCATAACTTTCCATTTTACTTTATTCATCTGAGTGCTGATTCATCCGTGAAAATGAAAATTTCAGCGAGAGAAGAACGAATTTTCTCCCTAAATATGTCGTCTGCGGCACATACTAAAGCAGCCAAACAAAACAAGGATTAGAGCATCAGAACTGGATTAATGTCTGTAATTCATGTGTGACCGATTACTTTAGACCGTCGCCTGAATTGATCTTAAAAGATACAGCTGTTAGCTTTTGCAACCAGCAGACCGCTGAATGATAGTTTTGAACTTGCTACTGCAAATATTCCTGTGGTATCGAACCATTTTTTCTATAAGTGTACTTCGTGTCTATGGACAAGAGTAGTTTATAGTTGTTATTCTACACGTGCTTCACTTACCAGAATAAACAATTTATCCCGCATTCATGTAATTGTGGCGTAATGTATTTGAGAAAAACCACACGGAACGAGAGATCGTTTGGCATACAAGTCATGAAACATTGCAAACAAATATTTGAGCATGTTTATGTCGCTTCTTACGAAACGCATTTCTTCTTCTATCAAAGACGTCAGGCCTCGTTAAAACGGTGAGCTTCCCTTTCCTCAAAATGTATAGGAAACGGTCTTAGAAGGACTTATCCATCTTAATCGTATTCGCTTCACAATTGAAAGATACTTACATACTCCTCGAAAAAGAATATGCAGCAGCAGATAGGAGTTGCTTATTACTGACAGTAGTTCCATAGCTTTTAGATCGCCAAACGTCTATTTGGGGCTGTTTTCAACGAAGTAAATCAGGAAAAATGCATAGAGATATTTTTCTCCCCGTTACGAGGCCTGGAGTCGACTTCCCTGTGGTGAATTATTCATAGTTTTATGCACAAAAATTTCATCATTTTTATTACACAAGTAGAGATTTTATGCTCAAGGTGAGCTTGACAAGTCCGTTTTATTTTCTTCCTCCGTAAGTAGTGATTGAAAAACGACAGTTTTCCCCGAAGGAAACCAGAAAAATTTTTTTTTTCTGTGTCAAGAGGTCGGGGTCGACTTCCTTGTGGTGAATTATTCAGTTTTATGGACAATACAATTATTGTTTTTATTACACAAAGAGAGGTTTTATGCTCAAGGCGGGCTTGATAATTCCGTTCTTTTTTCTTCCTCCGTAAGCGCTGAATGGAAACGAAACTTTTTACAGCTGATACTTTGCAAACAACAATTAGCATGAATATGATAGTTCGAGTAGGTCCATGATAAGATTTGAAAACTGCTGAACTGAAGCGGTCACTTCGGAAGTTTCAAGAAAACACTGTGATTTTCCAATGCATTATGTGTAGCTTCTCCAGATCTCAGTCCTTTACCGACATTTGCCTTTCAAATCCCGCGTCGCAAGGAGTCCAAAGGTATTTTGACATCGATCAAATCTCATCTCCCTATCATTCTAAAATTTCTAAACGCGAAATTAGATTAGCTGAAGCACTGAATGCGTAAAACATACTGTGGGCGCTCTATGCGAAATGATTGAAAACAGTCAAATGCGTCATAAAATGTCGCTGTCCGGAGGAACAGTTAGAAATAGAAGAAGGTTCAGCGTGGCTCCTTTCTTACCATTTGTTCATCTTCTCATGGATCATAAATAGCCTGTTATGTGTAGTTAAGAAACATATAATCTTCGATGACCTATTCAGCCTCGCTGTACCTTCCGTCACCCTGCACTGTCAGAAGTTTCTGTCACGAGTCCAAGTCCAAGTACTTTTTTTTTTTACTTAATTGTGTCGGGTCACAATGGCAAGGGAAACTAGTCATCATGCTCTCCCAGTGTCCCATTCAGTCTTCTATAGTTTCGATTCTACATCGAATCCAATTCACTTTTTCCTTTAAATGATCGCTTCAACTTACTTTGAGCTACTTTGATCGACTAACTCTATACTTTATACTTTTTGTTGTGGTAAGGCGTTTAGTGATTTTTTTACAAATAAAAACTTTTTAACCTTAAGAAAGGTCAAAACGTACTGTACACCCCTTCCCACCTCCGATTATCTTATAAAGTCAGCCGTCTTCTTGGAATGAAGTCATTTTACAGATCTAAAAGCCATTTGAGCTGTGGAGGCACGTAACTGCACTTAATAGTTGTAAGGAAACCGAACTAAACTGGTGAATAATATGGGTTCTGTCCTCGTGTACCGGTTCACAAGAGCCAATACAAAAGACCAAACAATACACAATAGCTAGCCGATAACTCCTAAACAAAGAAAGAACAATGGTAATTCCCTTGTGAACCGGTACACCAGGACAGAACCATAATATGTAATGCAAAATATAGTAACTTTCTTTTCAGAACTCAAAATTAACCTGGCACTGCACAGTTTAGTAGGTACTCTACAAATGCAAGTCTTAATAATATTCTTGTGTTAAAATTTGGCAAAAAAAAATGTAATTTAATGTTTACCTACTTGGATAAAAAGGCAAGATAAGCGAAACGAAGCCATGGCAGAGGCCCTAAGATTCTATAAATAAAAAAACACTTATAAGAGTATGAAAAAAATTATCTCTGTGAAGTTCAAGAAAGGTTTCTCAGACGATGCCTCATGTATGCATACTAACCCAGTAGATTTAGATATAGTTTTCACTTAATCATGCATAGTACATTTTACAGTGTCATTCTAGGACTCATGTCCACGATCCTATCACAGAAATCCTAAGTGACTGGCAACATACTGTTACGGTGTTTTCTCAACCGACAGAAAGATACAACTCGTACAAATTCAACTAATTCATTAACTAACATAGTAATCTTACCACGGAGCGATACCAATATAGATATAACTATCCTCTTATCTTAGAGCCCCCTTAAAAAAAACCATAATCTCAGTGAACTACTAAACTATTGAACAGCTCACAGTTCTCTTCAACGATCCTTGTAACTTAACGATGTCCAATAAACTTTTCTCAACGTAACCTTCCACAAGGCTGAAGATTCCAGTAACAGTAAATAATTCCAACAACTCTTCGTAGTCCACCTCTGTAATAACACTAGCTCCTCTGGGCTCTTCACGACAACACTAACTCACTGAAAAAGGCCTGACTTTAACCGATCGCGACTCCTTACAAATGTTTTACAGAATGTTCTGGAACATTCTAGGGATCAGTAATACAACTATTTTTAGTATCATTATATTACTATTTTATCATAACAAAATATGCTGATTAAGGGTTCTAGAAAGTTCCATTAAAACTTCTCAATGAGTCAGCATTACTAAGCGTTCCAGAAACCTCTTCAGTCCTATTTTTAGTAATTATGTGACACAATGCTCTCCATAACGTTACCACTTAACTGCGGAGAAGGCCTACAGTGACTTTGCCTCACTTCTTTTACACGAAAGTACTCTTTCCTAATCCTAATCATTATTTTTATATAATTAAGTAAAATTCAGCGTGACTCCCTATCACACCCTGAGAGAGCTATACACCTAACACCTACTTAATCAGTATAAACTGTTATTTTATAGTTATAAAGCAAGTCCAGCTGGTTTTTACAACCAATGTGCCTTATTATACAACATTTATCTATATTATTGCGTCGAGATAATCTCTATGACTTAACTTAAGTTGGAAAAAGAATTCGTTACTGTAAAACTGAAAACTATGCAAACGTGGTAAGCCAACTTAAGGACAATTTCAGATATTAAAAAAGTTTTCCAACCTAGCTTTCCCTCTCCACAGAGTAAAAAACAATTCAATAATTTAAGTGGCACGAAGGCTGCGAGAGAACAAAAAATTATTTGAACAGACAGACAGACAGACAACCTTTATTTTAGCACGATAGTAATAAAAGCTATGCACCTTCTGGAGTCGGGCATAATTACTAAACCTCAGAACAAAATATATACATAACAAGTAACAATATCAAACTATCTAAAAATTAAATTGTTAAAAGCTATGACGTAGCCTAAATATAATGGAAATCTTTACGTCTAAATTAAAATTTGTGGTTGTTGTAGAGGTCGCTTTGAAAGTCAACTCTTTAAAAATATCCATTGAACGGGTTTTCTTCTTCAGGCTTTGATAACTTGTATTAGGAATAGTTTTATTCTTAGAAATTAAAATATTCCATAATACAGAGCCTCTATAAGCAATAGAGTTTTTACCATAAATAGAGCTGAAACGTGGCACCGCTAAGGAGCCTGATACTCGTAAGAAGTAACCTGTAGGGCGTTTCGTCATAATATTATCGGACAGCACTAGTGAACTCATCATTGTATCTACCTCTGATGAAAATATTAGTGAATAAAAAATAAAACAAAAGCCTTATTCATATAAGCTGCCATACAAAAGGGCCAATTTTTTTTCTTTCGAGAATAATGCCGAGCAAACGGATCGTTTTTGTCCACGTAAATCCGGACTAATGTACGTAAATCATCTGATTTACAGCACTCTTTAGAAACTTAACAATCCCTGCAAAAAACCAAATAAAACAGAACAAAACAAAGAAAGTGAGGCAATTATTAAATACAGTGGCTTGTTGGGCCAGTCAGTGTGTAAATTCAGCCACAACCCTAAGTAAATAAGTAACAATCAATTAAAATGGTCAACAGACACTAGCTCAAGAGTAAACAAACAAAGAGATATATAAACAAGAAGAGGAGATGGACGTTAACACTGAGTGTGAGTTGTAATTCAAGTTTCTTAATTTTGAGTTTTAATTTTTCTTTTTTCTTGAGGTACGGTGATGTATTTGAAACAAATTAACATAAAGTTCAAAGAAAAAATGAAAACAAATCTGTGCACAAACGGATTTCATTAGCACGGTCGAATTTAGGTTATCCGGAATGTGGGGACTGAACTGCGAATATTTCTAAATGGGTTTTCCACAGCTAAATGGAAGGTGAGACTGCACAAGGTGGTTCGAATCTTCTCATATTGCGGCTGACAACCTGCTCGCTAATGGCCAAGGATGCTATCGCATACAACCAAAACCTTAAGGATATGAAAGGTGACTGAAGATAAAGCCATAAATTGAACAATGAAGACATTCTGTCTTCGTCATTTGAACTATCATAATCAGATTTATATTTCGTGAATCAAAGATAACCCGAAAGGAAAATTATGCGAACAAAAAGAGTTGGATTCTAATGCCTGGTTATCAAATGAATTCCAGTCATGAGTTTTTCTGATCACCAAAAAAGCTAAAATATTTCTTTTGATAAAATTAAGCGAGTTCTTAAAAACTCTTAAACATCTTCTAATTTAAAGTTCGAATTCAAGTTAATACATGTTTTCTTCATTCTTGCTCAGGTCAGAGGGAACCTTTATTATGACTGGATAACAAATCTTGCATCCTGTCGAATAACATAGGAAACGCATTGTAATTTGCGTTGGAGGTTAATCTATTGCGAGTGGAGTCACAATAGCAATCCAAAGAACAAGTTCAAAAGAAAGAGAGCCTTGATATCTTTGAGCTCAGCTTACCTTTGTCAAACTGGAGTCGTTGATTGTAGTCCCAGGTGTCTGCGTGTTACCATCTCATGGTCCTGGCCATTTGCTCTTTCATACTCATATCCTGGACTTACCATTCTATAGTCGTTACCTTTTGAAGTAGTCTCTGCTGAACCACTAGTGCTATCAATCCAGAGAGGTAAATAGATGAATACATAAACCAATGAAATACTGACTCGGGATATATAAATTATTCATTCATATTTGACACAAGAAAGAGCCACGAATCAAACATAACGGCTCACAGAAACCACTCGCAGAGCCATTTCCGAGGTGATTGTTCCTAATAAAGGCTACATGGTACCTGTAAGTTTACACTGATATTTACAAAGTGGCATTCCTTTAGCACAAAAGAAATTTCCCTAATTTCTTGATATTTCCTTTCAAACTTACATTTCAAGATCGAAAGTTGGTAGAAAGATACAACAAGGTCAAAAAAGAGGCATATTTAACCCAGGGTGGTCTTCAATCTTACGTTAACACGACTAGCAGGTTAAAAGTCGTTTTACAATATCTTTTTTTAGCTTTATTTTGTTTCGTTTTGTTTTAAATATATCTATTAGTATTATTATTCAATTTCTTTTTTTGGAGGGGGGGATTGTTCACTTGTTTTTGAAAGGCCTAATTTAGGGCATACTTTGCTCTTACAGGTTAAGATAACAACATAATCTTGCCATCTACGTGTATTCAACAAAAAACACTTAGGCATCATGGATATCATAAATTATTTTTCAGAAGAAAACAAATGTCTCACCAGTCTGGCTAAACCCTTGGTGCATAATTACCTATGAGTAAAAAATAAATATAGAGACAGTAATTTCGACTTGCAGAACGGACTTAATTTCTTGCCTTTTCTTTCCTCCTACCTCACTTTTTTCCCTCGAAATTCTGTATCATTTATAGTTTTATCCCATTTTCGGCGAGAGGAATAACAAAAACGAATTAAAAACGCAAGGTGTTACCCACTCTTATCAGCCGCATGCTACGAGGAGGAAAACATGTCATGGAGATATATATAGAAACATTCAAATAAAAGCTGCTGATAAACTCAGTGTCACAATTGAGTCAAATTTCCCTTACCTTTTGAGAAGAATGCTACATAATACTTCTTCTTGAGCAACCCGTAGGCTATTATTGCTACGATGATCACCAAAACTGCCACTCCTCCTAATACAAAGAGTACGATCAAACCAGGCTTAGCTAGAAAAGGCACAAAAAAATAAATAGCGTGGTGTTATATGGTCATGCATAGATTATTGCATGAAATATGTTAGCAGAAAAGTAATGAATTGAAGATAAAACTCGACTTGATTCCGAGTGCGTATATGCATAGGAGCATCTCTCATTCCCTGTGTCTATATCAATTTGGAGTTTGGCGTGTCGATTGGAAGGAAGAAAGGACTAAGATGAGAGCGAAAGGTGTGACACTTGTCTCCAGTTTCCCAACAGTCTTCTTATCCTAATGGGACTAAACATTTTATTTTACAATAAAAACTTCCTTACTAATAATGAAGGTATTGGCTAAAAAAAAAAAAAGAAGAAAAACCGCTCTATTGTGTTTCTTTTTCCAATATTGTCGCTGTTCGATTTAACTCTTTATCAAGACTTTCCGTGAATTTCCAAGACTTTCTGTGAGGCCACAGGCGTGCGCTTTTATTAGTCCTCCATCCAGGGCACCTTATTACTAACCATACATATCATTGAGGTGAGAGCAAGGCACAGAAAACAGATAGTACATCGTAAGCTTGCAATCATTTGAACTTGTTAACACAATGGGTGAATTTTTTCTTTTTGTTATCAGAGAAATACATGGCCTCTGATTGATCAATCGGTATACCATACCTTGCTCTGACAAGTAGTCTCCATAAATACGTTAAATAGTAGATAATTGCATTTTAAAATTGCACCTGGGTTCAAGGTCATCTCTCTTTCACTAAAATATACTCAAGAGTTTCACTAACTTAACATATTTTCTTACTTTTTTTACAATCTACTCCCTCAAAGAAAGTTGCACTGTCTTCCTTAGATGGCTCTGAAATTTGATACGCGGATTTATAAATAATTGAAAGAATATACACAACGCATAAAATGTTATTAAGGTGACTCACAAATGTAAAACTTACGTATGATGCATGATCCTACGTATCTACGTATCTACAACCGCAGTTCAATATATATGAACTTCATATATTCATTGTAAATGTAAAACTGTTAGTATGGAGACAGAAGTCATTCTTACAGCTCGTGCATGTTTCGTTAAAGACTTTGATAAAAAGAGAAACAAACTAAAACAAACATGATTACATTAAAGTAACCGCCATTTTCACACGCTAGTACGGGTCCTTTGGGAAACAGAAACCCCAGACCTCGTAATTCCAAATGCAGTTAATTTGGCCCAAGATAATGTTAACTGAACTCTAACATAATTTGAAATGCCTGAAAAAGTTAGCTTGCAAAATGAAAAATCATCAATTGAGTCTCCCATGTCAGATATTGGAGATTAACAAAGCCAAATGCTGCGTTCTGCAAAACAGTAACAATTAACCAAGACAAAAGAACTTACCCGGGAACGTTTCTCCAACGACCACCTCTTCAACTTATTGCCAAGTTTTCCATACTTCGCTGTCAGCAATGCATCCACGTTACTTTGACCCAAAGAATCGTTAAATGTTAGTTCCAAGTCAGCAACTGCACTTGCGGGTCTACGAGATAAACAAGAAATCAAATATTTCTAGTGGAAAACGACAAATAAATAGTAATGTGGAATTACCGTATTTTAGGGGTTTTGGCACAACGGACTTCCCGAGTAAACATTCTATCCCTACTCTTTCCTTTGTCTCCCATCCTTTCAGTACCGAAATGTCGATACTTTAATTTTAATCGTAAAACATGTTCACAAGCACGTGTGGACTCTTTCTGTGAGTGTTTTCTTGGACTATCGTAACTATACTAATAGGCCCTTAAGTTCCCTTAAGTCGTCCAATTATAAAGTCGCCCTACGTTGCCTTAAGTCGCTATTGGTTGCGCAATGTTATAAGGGTTCCACCCTTCATATTGTGTTTATTGCAAGGGATTATGTAGATATTTTTACGGTTTATGGAGAGACTGCTGCTACCTTTTATTTTATCACTTCAGTCAAATATGTCGCTTCAAGTCCCCCTAAGTCGCCTTAAATCGTGCAAAGTCGCAGTATTTTTTATGCCAGTTTTGCCTAAGTCGCCTTAAATCGCCCAAAGTCGCTCAAGGTTACGGCGATTTAAGGCCCCAGAGTAGGCCTACTAATTCAGCTATTGTGCTTGTAAAACATGCACATAGTTTATAATGTAAACCATATGGAAGATTCGGATGATAATCAGTAGAGTCGTTTGCCGGTACAATATGCTATAGGGCTCGCTATATTTTAAAACAAGTGCTCAAGCGTGTAAATTGAAAACTTAAAATTTCACAAATGTGCGTTTTATGAATTGTAACATCGTATTTGGGCATACGGGCGCATTTCTTGTTCAGTTTCAGTCTCTAAGTGAGGCCATCGCGATCGCCTCGACTAGTCTCTTTCAGCCGCAAGAAGTGATAAAAGAAAGCTGAGCGAGTTTCTTCTCATAAAAAGAATTGGTTTAATGGACACTGATACAAGATGTACTCTCATTTCTAGTATTTCCTGAGTTTCTTGTTGAGAAGATCCGAGAGCCTAACTTAAAGCTCCATAAACGGCTGGTTTAATTTTCCTTTCCATGGATCAGTCTCTTTCGGCCATTATTAATATCTCTTCACTCCCTAGAGCTTTTCTCGAGTCTCCCGCCTAAACGAGGTGGGTGAATATATATTTTAAAGATGACGCTGCAATTTGCGACATGATAGATATTTTATTTACATACTTGGGTGCAAAGTGTAAAGAAATTGTCTGCTCTATGTTAATCGCACATTCATGGTTTATAAGTTTGACATTTGCGATTTATAATTGCCTTGGTAATTTAAATAAAATGTATTTGCAATGCATAAATCACACGTTTACGAACACATCTCAAATGCGGAAAATGAAAAATTTTAGTCGCTTGCGATTCATAGATCATAATGAAACATTGTCATTTATAAAACGCAAAGTCGATATATTTGAAATACATAAAATGCATGATTTACTCGGAGATATAGGAATCGCAATGAATACCACGTGACCGTTGACGTTATGTCATCTAGTTCAATTGAGAGGTTAAGCATGACGTTCATGGCAAACTGCAAACGGCAGGGATGACCACGTGACCATTTTTTCCCCGCCGTTTTTCACGTTCGCCGTCTGAATTTTGCCGTTTTCAACGGGAAGAGGAGAGGTTTCACGTTAATGAAAAACGTAAAATTTGTCTCTTTTATGCTTTTGTGATGTTTTAACAATCGTGTGCTTTAAGGCAAAGCTACGTTCGTTTTTTACGTAAAACAATTGTCTCGTATTGACTTGGGAAGGATATTATTCGGAAAAATGCAACACAGTGCGATGAGCTTTGGACTGTTCTTCGCTTTTGAAGTGCGTCGCAATTTTATGTTGTTACTTTTTTTTTAATTTTTAGAAGCCATAAGAGTTAATATAATGGCTCCATTTCGCTGGCCTAAAGTGGATCAAGACATTGCACTCTGCAAAGAATTTATAGCGCGGCGCCCCACGAAAGCGGACGACTGGGAGGACATTGCAGAGTTTCTTTCCAACTTATTTTTCACAGAAAAAAATCTAGTCCAACTAAAAGGGCGAGAATGCCGTGAGCGGAGTGAGCTGTTGGTTAAAAAATATAAGTCCGAAAAGCGGAAAGCTTTAAAGAGGCAAGTCAAACCCCTTCTCGGATGATTTGCACGGTTTATGGTCAGTTCGTTCTATGGTCAGATTATTCGTAGTCAGATCGTTCCACATTGCGGGTAGATCGTTCCACATGGAAAGTCTGCTCGTTTTAAAACATGTTGTCAGATCGTTTCACTACAGTAACGAAAACCTTCTGTTTTAATCGAAATGTAAAGAGAAACGTTCAACCTTTTAGTGGACGGACTTTGTTAACCGTGTTACCGATGTGCCGTCAATTCGTTCGAGAACTTTCATAACGCCTCAATTTGAAAACATTCCTGCAAAAATTCCGCATCTTATATCAGGTCTCATATGTATTTCTTAATAGAAGCTTAAATGCAGCGGAAAAGTTGAATGTATCGAAAGCTTTGCAGCACTTCATCCTATTAGCAGTAAAGTCAACACACAAAAAAAAATCTAAATTGACTGATAGACCTTGTAAACATTTCATCGTTCTGATCTTTCTCATATTACACTGGAGATCTATCCATCTGTACATCTATTTAATAATATCTGTCTGTAATTCGCGGTAATATTAAGTTTGTTTAGTCACAGTAATTGTATCTGATTTAGATCAGGAACTGAGGGAGGAATATGACGAACTTAATTCCCTGTTAGAGGACATTACCACATATCTGGAGGACATGTCAGCAAATGTAGTGACAAAACAAACGAAAAAGGAAGAAGGGGACAGATCGAAAGGCTTGGCCATTAGGAAAGCGGCGATAGAAACTTTTGCCGGTACGTTGACCTGAAATGATTATTGCTGTGTAAACGATAATGATTTTAGCTCATTACTTTGAAATATGATGGTTATTGCACTACATAAAATCCATTTTAAGGATCTCTTTAACAAAGGATGTTTTAGGATCGCATTCATAGGATATATAATACATGGATGAATAGGAGATTTGAGCAGTAAGCATACATGAACATACCGGAAATAAGTCATTTTGTTGTAACCAGTTGTAGGTGTGAAATATTTCCTTTGATCTCATGATTTCAGAATATTCAAAGAGCGATTCTAGTAGTCAGCCAGATGAAAATGAAGAAGATGAAGAACTGGTTCTTTTTTCAGGTATTCATGAATAACACAATAAATGATTCGTGATAAAAATAATGATAATATTTGATCTTCGCTTTGAAGTTACTGTAGTTCAAATTCTAACATAAATAATATTTTACTTGATGGGCAGGCTATATAGCTTTTCATTATATTTTTTGGCCAAGATAGAAACTAGCACAAGTATTTGGACTGAAATATAATGTATTGTTGAAAGAGCGGTATAATCATTTATGTTATTAAAAAATCAAGTTGAATTCCTATTATGAAAATAATATTATCCTCAAATCTTTTAATAAA